TTTTTGAACAGCATCACTTGTCGTGGGTATATAGCGCATACGAATGTCACTTGTCGATGCAGATAATTTCTTTTAGATATTGTTCGTTGCATGCTCATTAACATCCGACGTGAGATGCATTATAGCTTTGGCCTGTACTTGTGCTGTGTGTATTCGCATGCCTATCGCGGGCAAACTGTTAACTGTTACTTGATTTTTTTTTTGCCTCTGCAAGCGGATGTATGTTGCATTTCTTTATGAGCGTTTGTATGTAGCATTCCTTTAAGAGCGTATGTATGTAGCATTCCTTTATGAGCGTATGTATGAAGCATTCCTTTATGAGCGTATGTATGAAGCATTCCTTTATGAGCGCATGTATATAGCATTCCTTTATGAGCGCATGTATGTAGAATTCCTTTATGAGCGTACGTATGAAGCATTCCTTTATGAGCGCATGTATGTAGCATTCCTTTATGAGTGCATGTATGTAGCATTCCTTTATGAGCGTATGTATGTAGCATTCTTATATGAGCGTTTGTATGTAGCATTCCTTTAAGAGCGAATGTATGTAGCATTCCTTTCTGAGCGTATGTATGTAGCATTCCTTTATGAGCGTATGTATGTAGCATTCCTTTCTGAGCGTATGTATGTAGCATTCCTTTATGAGCGTACGTATGAAGCATTCCTTTATGAGCGCATGTATGTAGCATTCCTTTATGAGTGCATGTATGTAGCATTCCTTTATGTGCGTATGTATGTAGCATTCCTTTCTGAGCGTATGTATGTAGCATTCCTTTATGAGTGCATGTATGTAGCATTCCTTTATGAGCGTATGTATGTAGCATTCTTATATGAGCGTTTGTATGTAGCATTCCTTTAAGAGCGAATGTATGTAGCATTCCTTTCTGAGCGTATGTATGTAGCATTCCTTTATGAGCGTATGTATGTAGCATTCCTTTCTGAGCGTATGTATGTAGCATTCCTTTATGAGCGCATGTGTGTAGCATTTCTTTATGAGCGTATGTATGTAGCATTCTTATATGAGCGTATGTATGTAGCATTCCTTTATGTGCGTATGTATGTAGCATTCCTTTCTGAGCGTATGTATGTAGCATTCCTTTATGAGCGTATGTATGTAGCATTCCTTTATGAGCGTATGTATGTAGCATTCCTTTCTGAGCTTATGTATGTAGCATTCCTTTATGAGCGCATGTATGTAGCATTTCTTTATGAGCGCATGTATGTAGCATTCCTTTATGGGCGTATGTATGTAGCATTATTTTCTGAGCGGAGTATGTAGCATTTCTTTATGAGCGGATGCATGTAAAATTCCCTTATGAGCGTATGCATGTAGCAAGCAAATACACTTCAAATGGTGCAGCTTCCAGCCCATTTTCTTGTACCCACTTTCAAGTGCCGCGCATGTCTATACGTGTAGAATGTGGTCATTGTGGCTTGCACTTGGTGACCTAAGACTGACATTGCAGATCACTCAACATATGTTGTCGTGTTTATGTGTTCTTGGTCTAGATTCACATCGTAGCGCTCATGCAGACACAAAACCAGCTCAGCTAAGCGTGCTCACTCGCCACTAAGCTTGTAGAGCTCTGCTGTTTCATCTTCTGTGTATTTGCTCTCCCTTTCTCTGCGGAGAAACTCCTGAATCCGTTCTAAACCCATTGGCTGGCGCGAAGTTTCCGAGTTAGGGATACCTAAATTCCTACATCTTCGAAATGCTGCATGCACATGCCTGTGTGCACGTAACTGTGCAACGCGTTCAGGTGTGACGAATAAGAGAACACAAACTCTGAGTTGAGTTGTGCATGCGTTGTGTGGACTCCACGCCATACACTACACATGCAGTTACACAAGACGAGGCTTGTCGCACAGGTTGTTGTGTGTAAAAGCACTACACGGAACATCAACTGCCCCGGACAGCACACGACACGGGCATGTCGTTTGGCTTGACTAGCCGTCTGAATAGACGCAACCGCATGTCAATTGCATGGGCTATGGCACACACGAGAGAAACCAACAGTCGCTGTGTTGAACACTCAAAGGGTGTTACCAGCGCACTTCTGGTAGTAGGGTTGTTGTATGCTGTATTGCCTGAACCTTACTTACTTACAGTCCTTGGCAGACATAGTGTGTAGTTCAGCCCATGCACCCCCAACCGGTTAGTATGAACGACAACCAGGCATAGCTATCATAACCTACAGCAACCAACTAGTTACAAGTCTCGCCTGAACCACCCAAACACTATACAAGACGATCTTAAGAACGGCCAGGGAGGCTCTACTCAAGGTAATATATAAAATATATATGTATGTATATATATATATACATGTACATAAATATATATACATACGTACATACGTATATGCATATATATATATATACATACACACACACACATAGTGTATGCCATCCCATACTGAATACACAGCATACGCCATCAAAGCCCTTAAACATGGTCGAATAAAAATTTATTTACCAAAACTCCGCACCCTTGTGCACACCTCTCCCGCCCCATACACGCACGGTTATCCTTAGCCTAGAGAAAGCCTCATAGCCATATGTACTATAAACCTCATAGACCCCTGTGTACTATATATTAAAAGTTAAGCGCCTTGCCGGTCCAAGCCATGAGATTCGCCTCTCTGAATGCCTCAGACTGTGTGGGGTGTGCGTGGCACACACGTCCCATATCCTCAGCAGACGCTCCGTATTCCATGGCAATTACAGCCTCGTGGATCATGTCACCGGCTGTGGCACCGATGATGTGGCATCCTAGAACCTTGTCGGTCTTCTTGCAGGCAAGCACCTTGACGAACCCGTCTGTGTGGTTGATATCTAGTGAGTGTGATGGTACGTGGCCTGAAACGGGCGTAATGGATAGAGATCGACTGAAGAAATATGTATGTTATGCACGATGCGTAGAGGAAATACATATATATATATAGATACACATATACACACGCATACACATATAATTGTTTTAGATCCACCAAGCGTACCTGTGTCCTCCATGGCTTTTGCACGGGAGTTGGCAGCGAACGGGAACTTGCCCACCTTGTACTCAATGCCCTGCTCCTTAAGCGCTTCCTCGCTCTGTCCCACCCAAGCCACTTCCTGCAGATCAAGAGACGTATAATGTCAGTGAGCAATGTATCAAGAGACGTATGATATATATATATAATATAATATGTATCAATTGACAAAACAAAATATACTTATAGAAAGAAATGGCATCTCACTTGACAGAGAGTGTATACTGCACCAAAACAACACATTTTAACACATGTCACAGTGTCAGACTATACGTGAGGCATATCATAGCAACGACTCAGAGACACAGGGAACTACGCCCAACAACAGAAGTCATATGCCACACAACATCAGCCACAACAACAGAACAAAAGGCTCATATCACTTGCAGACGGGTCGGATGAACTACACACACACACACCACAGACAACAACACAGCACAACGCACTTCCGGGAGACGCGCAGCCGATCACAGTCAGATGCGTACACTCACTGCAACACAACACAACTACACACTGGCTAACATGCTACATACAACACACGGACCAAAACATAGCACAACAACACACAGGCTAACATGCTACATACAACGCACGGACCATAACATATCACAACAACACACAGGCTAACATGCCACATACAACACACAGACTAACATGCTACATATAACACGGACCATAACATAACGCAACAACACACAGGTGAACATGCCACATACAGCCCATGCGCCATACACCTACCGGGTGGGTGTAGACGACGCTAGGCACGCAGTTGTAGTCGATGTGGGGGTGACCTCCGAGCATACCCTCCACACAGATGAAGGCCTCGTCCTCGGCCTTGTGCGCCAGCATAGGGCCGTCAATCACATCTCCAATGGCGTATACACCCTCGGTCTTGGTCTGGAAGTACTTGTCGACGGGGATCTTACCACGGTCCAGATCAGTCAGTCCAATGTTCTCTAGGCCCAGGCCTTCGGTGTAGGGCCGGCGACCTACGGACACCAGCAGGTTATCGGCCTCGAGCTGGATGAGATTGGGGGTTGAAATATGGAATGGATTTGAATTTTTGGAGCGATTAGATTGAATTGGGGTTGAATTTTAGATCAATTTGATTGAATTGGGTTCATTTTTAACTCAACTAAATTGAATTGCTTTGACTTTGTAGGTAAACGCGTATGTATACTTAGGCAGAACCTCACAGGCGTAGACGCCTGATCAGACACACTACACTCGCCCCTTAGACATACACACAAACCCACACGCGGACAATACAATAAAATACAATGCTACACACCTCCTCTGTCTTGCCGTTCTTAACGTTCTCCATGTGCACAACCACACCACCTCCTTCGCGGGGGCTGGTGCCGGTGACCTTGGTCTGCATCTTGAACTTCAGGCCTTGCTTGCCCAGGATACGTTGGAAGGTCTTAGCAACCTCACCGTCAATACCCACACCCCCTGTAACCAAGCAACGGAGGCTTAGCAACGAGTGATGGAGTGTGGATGCACTAGGCACAGTAGTAGGTAGGTATTTTTCAACTCTGCACGGGTTAGTGGGCCACCCTAACAGGTGTGGCAGATATACTCAACGCAGGATAGGTAGAACGAGTGGGGGATAGACAGTATTGTATTACTAGTGAAGGACATACGCTCTGGAGATGACAATATATATATATTGCGATGAACCGGAGATAAAACTCTCCACAGGTTGGTGTGTGGCCATCGCATTCACATATGACACTACCATACCCGTACACTATCACGGAGAGAAGAACATGGACCAAAATATGTCTGGCAACGTATAACGCACATAATCACTTTGTGCAGAGTCTAGCACTTACCAACGGCGGGAAGGAACTCGACTACAGTGACCTCTGCGCCCAAACGAGACCACACAGACCCCAACTCAAGGCCAATCACTCCACCACCGATCACTACAAACTTATCAGGCACCTGGAGAGAGCAGAGGGTAATGGTGAGATAATAAGGCCACGCAGAATAACCACAGCAGAAGGGACGATACTACGGTGAGAAAATCAGCCACTCCAGACACTACGATGTGGATATATATATATGTATATTGGCGGTCATGAGACGCTCGGGCGGCGTTGTCACGAGGGACTGACTAATGGATCGCCTCAAACAAGTGAGAAGGTAAGCTCAGTCCTATGTATAGTCAGTAAGTGAGAAAGTAACAAGGGGAGTGCGACTACAGTGCCATTGCATAGCTGACTGAATGCCACATGCCTGTCCGTGTATGTGAACAAAAACAAACGTCAAGTGGTCTTTTTGTTCCAGGAGACGGTACCAAGAAGACAAACCGAAACAATAACGTTCGAACGCATTAGGCGCGGTGAAGGGGATGAATACCCCACGGGTGCGTTGGCGTGGACCACAAGCACACACACATGTGCAGAGAGTAACAACTGAGATGCAAAGCAAAAATACCTGCAGACAATCTACCTGAAATACACATACACACACAGAGAGAGAATGTACTCAAAGTCATACACACACAGAGAGAGAATGTACTCAAAGTCATACACACACAGAGAGAGAATGTACTCAAAGTCATACACACACAGAGAGAGAATGTACTCAAAGTCATACACACAGAGAGAGAGAATGTACTTAAAGTCATACACACACACAGAGAGAGAATGTACTTAAAGTCATACACAGAGAGAGAGAGAATGTACTTAAAGTCATACACAGAGAGAGAGAGAATGTACTTAAATTCATACACACACACAGAGAGAATGTACTTAAAGTCATACACACACAGAGAGAGAATGTACTTAAAGTCATACACACACAGAGAGAGAATGTACTTAAAGTCATACACACACACAGAGAATGTACTTAAAAGTCATACACACACAGAGAGAGAATGTACTTAAAAGTCTTACACACACAGAGAGAATATTCTTGGTTGAAGATGCATACTTTGGCGATGTCCAGAGCACCAGTGGATGACACGATAGTCTTCTCGTCAATCTCAATGCTGCCTCCGGGGAAAGGGGTTACCTCTGATCCCGTGGCAATCAACACTCGCTTAGCCTTTAACGTACTCTCACCTCCTGCACACACGCATGGGGAGGTTACATTTACATGTGTACGAAGATAAATAACAAGTATGTATGTATAAGATATACGTATGCGTTAAGATAAGGACTATAGAACTGTGATAATACATACGTGTCAAAATAAAAAACATATATACATTTTAGTCAACATTTATCACATTTATATTAATGCTGATGTTACGATCACATACGTGTGTCAATTATGCGTATCAATACAAACAACATACACATGTGTGTTAATAGAAAGTACATGTACATACGTATCAAAATAAAGAACATACACATACGTATCGATGTAAAGAACATACACATGTGTGTTAATAGAAAGGACATGTACATACGTATCAATACAAACAACATACATATGTGTGTTAATAGAAAAAACATGTACATACGTATCAATATAAAGAACATGTATGTGTTAGTGTTAATACAAATAACACATACATGGGGTATTAAGAATAAAAATACATGGCTAATGAAAATAACATATACATGTGTGTTACTATAAATAACATATACATGTGTTACTATAAATAACATATACATGTTACTATAAATAACATGTATACCTGTGTGCTAATATAAATAACATATACATGTTACTATAAATAATAAATATATAGTCAACAAGTTCACAGCGTATTCAACAGTAGCCACAAACGGGATACGTAGTGGTTGTCATAGACGCAAAGTGAATGACAAAGATAGACCAAACCATACTAGAAAAATAAAGTTAAAATACAGTCACAGCCAAGCTACTAGCAAGACCAATACCATATGCATATACATACTCGGTATACATATACATACCCACATACACTCATACGCATATACATGCTCAAATACAGATATATATATAATCGTATACATATACATACCCACATACATATGAAGTCATAGCGCACATACCATCTTCCGTCTTGACCTTGATGTTATTCTTATCCTGGAAAGAACCCCAGCCCTTGATGTACTCGATCTTATTCTTCTTAAACAGTCCCTCGATGCCGCCCGTGAGTGTGGTGACTGTGTTGGACTTAAGCTCCATCATCTTGTCCAGATTGAGCTTAACCTCACCCACTGCGTGTGGCAGCGTATGCATAGGCGTGTCAGGCATTGCTTGCAGCTGTACGTGTGCGTGCATATGGTGCACATACTTTATCCTATCTTTATATATATACAGAGCAAGACGCCCTATCACACAGATGCATGGAAGTGTCCTACTAATCTCTCCCCCCTTGGTTGTGTGCACACGCTATAAATCAATGTTCAGAGACTACCCCAGAGGCCCTCCATTGAATTGTTCTCATGCTATTAACAGATGAATGGGGATATCGCACTAACGCATGTGTGCAGATAGGGACTGTGTGTATCACACTAATGCAGGTGTGTAGGTAGGCCATGTGTTCGAGTACCTTCCCATACGCTGCTGAATTATACAGACTGGACCGCATTTATAGTGGACACAGAAAGCACTCATGAGACCCAGCATACGAATTAGACTCAACTCAAACACAAGAACGCATGCAATAACAACAACAACATACACATGGGAATCAGGACATCTCCAGGCCCTTAAAAATTGGATTCAGGGCGGACGGTATGTACCACACTCATCTAATTCCACCGTGAAACTGTTTGACTGCTAAGCTGGATTAGGCACACCCAAGATAGGTAAAATAGCAGAGAGAACACTCTACTTGTCAACAAACACGTGTACATACACCTGTGCTTCTCTGAATGATAGGGTGTATACGTACTATTCTCACATCGCACGCATGTGTATCTAAATGCAACCATACACGCGTACACATACTGCAGCAGCACTTATACCTTACGCTCTCTACAAGCACAAGTAGAATAGCTATACCTCGATGGCCTGTGCATGCACAACCGAGCCAAGCACAATACCCAACATGCGCAACAGACGCACCCACCCCGTACCACACATCCATCCTCAATGTGTAACCAACGCACACACACATACCTCCGATACCTTTACTACACACATACCTTCGATACCCTTGCTGGCCAGACCATGCTGGGCCTGGTGGTACAGGTGTGAGCTGTTGAGTAGCGCCTTAGAAGGCATGCAGCCGACGTTAAGGCAGGTGCCGCCTAGACGTCCCCGTCCCTCCACACAGGCCACCTTCATGCCCATCTGTGCGGCTTTGATGGCACCGATGTAACCTCCAGGGCCACCACCGATGACCACAAGATCATATTCCTCTGCAGAGAGGGGGTGGGCGCGAAGGAGAGGAGAGGGGGTGGGTGAATTGGCAACGGGTGTAGGTAGAAGGCCGTCGTGAATGATGTGTATGTACAAGCACATTGTAGATATCGTACAATAAAAAACCGGGTTGAAATGGCGTGTATGTACAAGCACTTTGTAGGTATCTTACAATAAAATTTTAAACAGGTGCATGTACACGATACAAACTTATATATTCATACACATAATGAATTGCACGAATCGGAACACGTGGAAGGATACTACTAGCAAGCAGCTACACGAGATGCATAGGCCACAGGCACAGCTGATGGGCCTTAATGTCACGTACACACCCTCAAATGGATAGCTGACATTCATACAAGCCATCGCACAGTATGTAATACTACACTCATATTTAATCAAGGCTCACATACCACCATCCGTGTCACGTATACACCCTCACATGGATAGCTGACATGCGCATAAGTCATAGCACAGTATGTAATATTACACTTCCTCCCCCCGCTAAACCCTAATCAAGGTTTACATACCACCGCTCGAGTACCATCGCGCTACAGCAGCACCGGCGACTCGGGTCTGCTGAACCTGCATGGTTATTAAATACATAAATACACATGGGTGAGTGTGTGCGCAAGCTTAGGATATGGTTAATAAAGACATACCTACATACGGGTGAGTGTGTGTACAAGCTTAGGATATGGTTGATAGATACATACATAGAAACATACGGGTGAGTGTGTCTACAAGTTTATAAATGGTTAGAGGGATGTCCTTGAAGCCACTTTGATGTTACAACTGCGATGCCTATATGCGTTTCCCTCGTGATAGAAGAATCAAGGTATAGACATGCAAGCAACCTAATGTACTCTCATTCTGAGTGTTATAATGCCGATGTGAGATGCGATAGCTATACTGTAGCCTACCAGTTATCAGTATAGGTATGTAGATATTAAGCGTATATTGAACAACATATATACCTTTTATCAAACTCCAACTTTATTTACATGTACACATAATAACATACTATTTATTTTTACAACTACGTATATAGAAGCAAATCTATAGATTTAAATGTTCATACATACAATGTTTTCCTATGTGCATGTGTATAAATGGTAACAAATATATACATTAGCACACATATATACATAGAAAGCTACACACACTCACACACACAAATATATATGTTGGAACCAAGGTTAGGTAAGTTACGTAAACCCTTTACCGGTTTACCCGTAACCTAACTATTCTTGTTGT